ACAATAATTTTGCACCATCTCCCGCACGCGTTCCTTCACCTGGACATTTTCTATGTGGTTGAGGTTAATCTCGTCTTTCGCTCTTTCATCTTCTTCGTCTTGAATGTTGACACATAAAACTTCTGACCACGCCGTTTCTTCTTTCGTCACGTCTGTGGAGGTCTTCGATTCTTCGTTGTCGAATTCCGTCAACGTTGCCTTCTGTTTTCGTATATGGATTTCTGCGAAATCGGATAATTCGCCACCTAAGAGAAAATCGTGCGTCGTGAAGTAATCCGGCACTACATCGATGTCCAACGTAAGGGTGAGACCGTCTATTGTCACATCCGCCGTAAATCTTCCTAATGTGCTGCAATCCGTGATACCCATGCCGTCGAATTTCATTGTTACGGGCCGGATCTGTGGAGCACCGATTAGTACATAAAAGCTCGATCGCATTAAGTGCAAATCACTACCAGAATCGATTACTGCCGTTACGTCTTTATTTAAAATCTTCACATCCTTGTATATCTTCTTGTCGCCGTGTGATCGTACTATGTCGACCCTCTTCGGTGTAGCATCTTTGTTTTGTGCATCCGATCCTTTCGAACATTTCGCCGCAATGTGGCCAAATTCTCCGCAAGAATAGCACTTCGATCCCTTCGCCTTGTGCGGGCACTCCTTGCCCAAATGCTTCGTATCGCCACAATTATAACACTTTTTAGGGTTAGAAGTCGCCGTCACTCGATTGCCACTGCTTGCCATCTTGTCCTTACCCGCCGTCTGCGGTCGATGCTTCGCCTTATTTCTATTGGTCCGCTGCGTCTCATATTGTACGAACCTCTGCCGTAATTCTTTAATTGTCGTCGCGTTGTATAGAATAGCCTTATTGGATTCTTCGTCTTTCACGCCATCGATTATGTATTGTATCTTGGCTTCTATCTCCATCTCCGCATGACTCGCTAACTCTAACACGCGATAGATGTACTCTTGAAATGTTTCGTCAGTTTTTTTGGTCACTGCACTCAGTTCTTTGTGTATTTGTCTGCTATTTAATGTTTTGTCGAATTCCTCGACAAGCGCTTTCTTGAGATCACGATACGACTGCGCATGACACTCGAAATTAGCGAAAAGTTTCGCGGACCCGCGCAATAACCTTTTCACATATATAACCCTTTGCGCATTCGTCCAAGAACACAACTCGGCCGTCTCTTCAATAGTGCGAACCATCTTCGTACGCTTTGTGTGCCATCTCCACTAAAAGTCTCTAGCGCATCTTCAACATCCTTGAATGTCAGCACTGTTCTCGAACTATTACGCGTTTCCCCGCGCGTGATACGGCCATCGTTGTCTTCATTGGCTCGTACCATTTCTAGTTCGCGAATCGGAGTCGATCTCGCACCGCCACCTGTCGCGCCGCGCGTCACGCTCACCGCACCGCCGCGCGCAATATTCCCCATGTTGCCGCGTAAAACGCTCGGCACGCCGCCGCGCGCGCCCACCATGTTCCCGCCTTGATCGTCACGTTGTATAAAAGTATTATCCGCTTCTTCATCGATGTCGTCTTCCTCGTCGCTCGTGTCATCCTCGTCGTCCTCGCCTCGTTGCAGAGCCGCCCGCAATCTCTCACGGAGAACCGGCTTTGTTCCCGACACCTGTAATCCCAGCTCGCGTAATCGGCTCTTCAATGTTTCCTTCGATAATGTCGTCAGATCGTCGCTGTCCGCCATTAGCGCGTTTTCGCCACCGAAAATTCCTGACGTCTCATCCGTCTGTGATAAGTTATCTTTTGGCTCTAAAGCCTTTCGCAGCCTTTCACGTAACGCCGCTCGGTTACCCGTCGTTGGCAATCCGAGATCCTGGAGCTTCTTCGCTAGTTCATCAACCGTCATTTCGGTCAGCGCATTTGCCGCGCTCGTCGTATCCGTCGTATTCGCCATGTTGTACTCGCCGTTGTTTCGCCGTTTCGATACGCGCACTTCTTTTCTAGTAACACGTAATCGCACCTCACCGTATCTGCCACCTCGCAGA